GGGACGCAGGGCTGAGGATTTCTGGGGGGGTTCTGGTGAATCAGGAGGGAGGGAAAGGCTCTGGATGCCCCTGCTACATGCCAGGTAATTATGGATAACACAGCCAGGGATACTGGGATATTTCCTGGGATTTCTGATGTTACTTTGTTGGAAGAAATTCTTCCCTGTGAGGAACTGGATGAGGTTGTCCAGAGAATCTGTCCCATCCCTGGAAGTGTTCCAGGCCAGGTTGGATGGGGCTTGGAACAACCTGGGATAGTGGAAGTTGTCTCTGCCCATGGCAAGGAATGAAATGAGGTGGACTCTGAGATCTCTTAAAGTTCTCTGTGACTTTGTGAAATTTGGGAGATACCTCTTGGAATTCGCTCCTTTCTGTGCCTCAGTTTCCCCAGCAGCGGGAGCAATTCCTCCTTTTCCACCCACGAGGGAGACTGGAATTTCTCAGGCTTTGCTTCTTTCGCCAGGGCTGGATTTTCTGAGCTCAGCGCTTCTGCAGAGCCAATCCTTGGAGCTGGTAAAGTGCTGTGGGAGTGAGGATGTGCTGGATACCCGAGCCGAGTGGGAGCAGACAGCTTTTCCATGGATGGGCTGATCCTGCAGCAGGGCAGGGGCAGGGGGGGAGCGGATCAATACCAGGGATACGGGGAGAGCTGGAATAAGCCGAGCTTTGTAAGTGAAGCCCGAGCTCTCAGGGCTCCCAGTAAAAGCTGTTATCTCCAGACATTCCCGGCTGTCTGGATCCTCTCACAATACAGAGACATTCCAACCAGGATATGAGTCAGCTCGCAGGGATCTCTTCCCTGATCCTGCCCAACACCGCTGTGGGATGTTGGCTGATGCTGCCCGATGTGGGTGACACCTCCTTTGGGGACAAGGACCAGCCGGGGAGTCCCTCCCTACCCATCCTTCCTGATTCCGCTTGTATCCCATCCGGAATGCGGGCACTGAGCTCCCCAGGCATCCGTGTGCTCATCCCAAAGGTATGAGGAAAACAGCCAGGGAAAAGGCACGTGGATTTATTCCTTAATTTCTGGGCTCTGAGGGTGACTCAAACAAATTTCCGGGTCCACAGAGCTTCTGGCTTTATCTGTGAAATCCATAGAGGAGGAGGAGCTGGAAAGACCCTCCAGACCAACTGGTTTTTGCCCAGTTATAAAATCCCATTGTAACAGCACCACAGGGAAAGCTGGAAAAGGTTTGTGTTCTCCAGTTATGCCCCATCCAGGTCTCCTGGCCACATTCCCATGCTTCCCAGTGGCTCCAGTTTGGGTATCAGCCCTAACCAGTCCAAGATGGGACTGGGAGAAGAGAACAGCTGGATTTTGGGCCTTTATCTGTGTCCTGTCTCTGACCAGGAGAAACGCAAGGCAGGATGGACCAGCGAGAATTCCCAGAGTTTTCTCCAATTGTTGCCAACTATTTGTACTCTTGAACCAGCATTTTTCCATCTTTATTATGATAGTGGGTGGATTTTTCCCTTATAATGTGCCTGTTATCCATGCAAAATTTCAACATCCTGGAGCAAGGAATTCCCTGGGTGTGGAATGCAACAGCCAAAAGGGAGGGAAAGCTTTGCTGAGACCTGGAAAAATCAGTTCAGTTGTGAAAAGGAAAGAGCTGTGTAATCCGAGCTCTTTATCCCAACAATCCTTGGGAGGCTTCCACACTGGCTCTTCCCAAATTAGGAGCACTTAACTCTTCCCCTAAATGTTGGTGTTTTGGATCTTCTGCAACACATTTGGGAATAAATAAAATCCGGGCCAGGGGATTTTTTTTGGCACACCATTCCAGCCATTTCCCTGCTCCTCCTTTCTTCCCCCCCTTCCCATCTCATTTCCTCGGGAGCCAAAGGAATCTGTCTGCCTGATGGATGGCTCCTGACAAGCTGAGCAGCCAAAGATCACATGTCAATAGGGCCATAATTAGGAGAATTGAGCCCTGTCAGGGCCTCCCGGAAATTTATCTGGAATCAATGGCCAATAGGGTGGAAGGAATGAAGATGTGGGAGTGTTTGCTTTGGAGCTGCCATGGATTTTTACACCCTGTCTGCACAGGGATCCTGCTGGCCGGGCCTTTCCTGCTGCCTGAAAGAGGGGAGGATTATGGAATTAGCCATGGAGATCTGCCCTGGCACCCGCTGACCCTTCTGGGGATGTGGCTGCACCCCCGAAGCAGGCACAGAGAGAGGGAAATGTGGGATAGAGGATGGAATCAACGTTTTGCTCTTCCTTCCAGTGGGAAAGAGCATGGCAGCAATCCAAGGCATGGGTCAGGAATTTGGGGATATGGAGGAAATTTTTGGAAATGTGCCTAAATCCCTCATTTCCCCAAACACCGCCAGTGTCCCCAAATCCCCCAAAACACCCTCTATGTCCCCAAACCTCCCCTATATCCCCAAATTTTCCCAATATCTCCAAATTCCCTCCCCATCCTAAAATTCCCCCAAATCTCCCCCCATTCCACATTTCCCTATGTCCCCAAATCTCCCCCACATCCCCAAACTGCCATATCCCCAAATCCCAGTGCCTCCAAATTCTGCCCCCATGTCCTCATTTCCCCATGTTCCCAAATTTCTCCCACATCCTCAAGCTGCCATGTCCCCAAATCCCCCCAGTGCCCCCGTTTTCCCACATCCTCAAATTCCCCCAAATCTCTCAAATGACCCCAAATTCTTCCCCCATGTCCACATTTCCCTATGTCCCCAGATTCCCCTAATGCCCACTCCATGTCCAACACTTGTGACCCCACATCAGGGTCTTGGATCCATCCAGGGATGCAGGATGGGAGAGGCAGCACTTGAGGGGACAAGGACGTTGTCACCTCCCATCCACACCTGAGACAGGGCTGGGGTCTCATCACTCACAAATTAAATCTGGATTAAACCTCCAAGTGAGGCTCAGCCTTTTACAGTTTTCCAGGGATAATACTGCCAAAAAATGTTGGGATTTAGGAATTGACTTCCTCTGAGGGCTGCTAAAGTCTGAGCCACTGCAGGGAATCTTTTCTGCTGCTCTCCCCACACCTGTGGCACTTTCTGGATGTCCCTGAATCCCAAATCTCCTGTGATGTTCTTGGCACTGATGAAGGACTGGGGAGTTTTCACTTCTTTGGGTTGGGGGTGAATCCTTTCTGCAATTCCAGGGTTTACTGGCAAAGAAAAGCTTGGAATGCCCTGGGAAACCCTTCAGCATCTGCTTTAATGCTTTGTTGGTGCAAGGGTCAATGGCCTGGCCCCAAAACTGTTGAACCATGAAAACAGTTGAGATTAAAGCCAGAAATCCTTTGGAAATGCTTTTGGATACCAGCCAGGATGGAGCTGGAATCACACAAGCCAGAGGGAAGCATCAGGCAGGGGATGATCCCTCCCTGCCTGGGGAATGATGCTGGGATTGGGATATTGGGGCACCACACCGAGGTGTTTCTACCCCAGGACTGAAATAAAAGGAAGGAAACCTTTGGAATTCCAGCCTTGTGCTCTCCATTGCTCCAGGGGTCGACCTCACTTCCTATCAATGGATTTCACCCCCAGGGTGCAGCAGGCATTCCCTGTTCCCTGGACTGTGCTCATCCAGCTTGCCCATCCCACAAACTCAGCTCCTGCTCACCCAGCCTGCAAAATCAAAGCTTGGAAAAACTCCCAGGGATTAGGGCTTCAAATCAGTGAAATCATCGTTTCCCTGTTGGGAATTAGGGATCAGAAAGGCTCTCCCAGCCTATTTTTGTCATGGCTTCATCCTCATGCCACTTCCACGGCCAAAATCCCAACTTTTCATCACATCCCAGTGTATCCACCAGTCCCCACAGCCCTTACTGAGATTCATTTCACTTCTGAAAATCCCATAGGATTGTAGGAAAAGAATCTAGGAAAGGGGAAGGATCCAGAGCCTTCCAAAGGCCATGGATACCACAGAGCTCCTAATTTATTGCTTCTGTAATTGGGGTTAATTACTGGTGACCAAATTTATCTTCTTGCCTCTCATTAATCCCAAACACAAAAGAACCCTGTTTGCAATCAATTGCTGTTTAATTACAGCACAATAGCTGCCTCCTGAGATCGAAATCCCGGCTGGCTCCAGGCCTTGAGGAGGATGGGAGTGGGAAAATGGAGGATGAGGATACTAGCTGGGATTGGCATTCTGTATTCCAGAGACTGATGAAATCCAGGGAGAGGAGTGGGAAGTCTCCTTGTCGTGGTTGAAAGATCAGGGAGTGGGTTTCAGCTGGGGAGAAATGAGAGGGAATGACCTCAGGTTCCACTTGGGGAGATTTAGGTTGGGTATTTGGAAAAAAATATCATGGAAAAGGTTGTCAAGCCCTGGAAAAGGCTGCCCAAAGAAGTGGTGGAGTTCCCATCCCATGAGGAATTTCAAAGCCACTGAGAGGTGGGATTCAGGGATATGGGTTAGTGGTGGAACTGGCAGTGCTGGATTAATTGGACTCGATGATCTTCCATGGTATTTTCCAACCTAAAGGATTCCATGATTCTGAGATTTGGGTGGAAAACGTGTTCCATGTGAAACCTTTCAGGGAATATTTGGTCCACTCTTAACCTGAGAATATTGGGAATGGAAATTCCTTCTTCAAGCAGAACAAGGAAACAAGGTCCCAGCACTTCCCAGGGCTTTGTTGTTTGTACTGAAGGTGTTTGAGGTGACCAGGAAACTCCCCAAAGGACATGGACAGTGAGGAAGAAGGGGGAAAAATGGGAATTATGGGAAAACTCTTATTTCTGCAGGCAAACTCCAGTTTCCTACCCTGGATCCCCCATTCCTGGGGACAGAACTCACCAGCCCCAGGAGCACGCCTGAAATCTCCAAATTGTTTTTTTTTTCCAGGAGAAACATTTCCTTGGCACTGGTGCCAGTCCTACTCCCCCATTTATCCCGAAAAATGTTCTAGATTAAATAAACTCCCCTTGCAGCCCATTCCTCCCTCCCTATTCCTTAGGAGCCATCAATCTCCAGGATTATTGAACCCGGTTTGGGAGTTAGTGGGGTGTTGAAAACGCTCCAGTCTTCCCTTTATCACTTTCAGATCAGTCCATCGGATGGGAATCCATCAGGGAAAATTATGGGAGAGGCTGTGCTGATCTATGGCTCCCTGTTCCCAGATCAATCCAGCTCTTCCCCTTCCAGCCTGGGGGCTGTGAGGATCCAGGGCTGCCCATACTCGACTTCCTTAAAACACCACATTTATCAACACTTCCCATTCCTGCAAGGATTTTGTCCTGGGATGTGCTGGAGATGGGATAAAATATCTGCTGAGTCAAACAAGGTGGAGGCTGAATTCCTCCTGGGACCTCAACTCCCGACTGGAGCCACTTGCAAACATTTATTGCATTTAAGATTTGAGTGGATTTAGGGATTATGAGCAGCCCAAATCTGGACTGTGCTGGAAATTCATCACATCCCAAAATTTATCTGCTCCCAGGATGGTGCTGAGGTCATTTATCCACCCAGGAGTCAGGACCAGGAGCTGGGTTTGGAGCTGTTTTTCCACCTGGGCATTTCCAATCACCCTCTTCCCATGCCCTGTGCAGATCCAGAGGGAAGAGCACCACCTACTGAGTCTCCCTCACCTCTTCTTTCTTTCTTTTTTTTTTTTTTTTTTCCTTTTCTCAATCTATTTTATTCCTATTTGTGTTCTTTGCTTCTCCCTGAGAAAGGCAGGAGCACGTTCAACTCCAAGGAACCGTCCTGATCTCTCCAGACGTTTCTGCTTGCTCTGATTTTCTTGTGTTAATGAGACTTCCTTGGGGCCTTTCTGCTTCCTGCCTTCGGGAATTAACAGCACCTCCAGCCTAATGCCTCCCCAGATCCAGGTTTTCTCTTGGAACAAATGTGGGAAACAAAATAAAATTAGGTAAATTTTGCCTCAAAATCTGAATTTAAGCTAAATATTGGAGAATTTGCTAAAGCAGAAATAGATGCAGGAGTATATTCCATATTTCATATGGATTTTTCCATATGTGGGTGTCCATATGTAAGAATACGTCTCTGAATGTGTTTTGGTCAAGGATTTCGGGAATTTGCTGGAGACTTTCACATCTGGGTTCAGTTCCCACCCTGGCACAATCCTTTTAATATTGATTAAACACTGAAAAATTCTTCGAAAATAGATTGGGAGAAAAGCAGAGAAATCCACTCTGATGTTCCCTGAACATTTTTAACTGGGAGACGATCCAACTTTTTAAGGATAAGACCTCAGCCATGTCATCCCAAAGCCCTTCATTTGCATCCAATGCCAAATGAGACTCATTAAATATCCTCTTGTTATTTCTTCCTGTTCGGTTTGTTTGTTTGAGCCATAAATGTGTTTGTATTTCTCCCAAGGGAATTGGGGTGGGAATTGGCACAGGATATTTGATAAGGATTTACAAAATGAGTCCCTGAGTCCCCTCATTTGCTTCCAAAGGTCTCAACACTCTGGATATCTCAGGAAGAACTTGGTGGGAAGTGGGAATGAGGAGATCCTTGTCAGTCCTCAACATTACCTATTTTCTGCTTCATGTCCCACGTAAAGCTGAGGGGCACCAGATCTTTCCACTGGGGAAAAAACCTCAAATATTGCATCCCTATGGATCAAACACATTCTGTGATGAATGACTGGGGAAAATGGGAGATTGTTTATCCCAGAGAATGAAGGGAGATGGGATAACAGCAGGCAATTATGTAAAAGGCTGCTGCAGGAAGGGGAGGGACACGTTTCCCTGTGTATAGGACAAGGAATAAGGAGCTTAAAAACCAGCAAAGGAGATTTAGAGCTGTGAGATAGAGGAGGGCTGGGATTAATTGCTGGGAGGAGGGGAAGGGTGGGATCTCCAGGGATGGAGTTTGGAGGACAAATGTGTCAAGGAGGGCTTAAAGAGAGTGGATTCATCCATGGGACATGAGGCAGGGAAGATGAACATCCACCTGGATGTTTCTCCAGTGTTTCAGGTGGCTCACAAGGCAACGTGAGTGGATTCTGGGATTTCTCGAGGGGGATGGGGGGGTTTGGCAGCTTGGGAATTTCTCCTATGTGAGGCTCCTGCTCATTCCTTGGAATGAGCCATGTGGTGCCACACGGAGCTGCGTCTCCAAAGATTTCCCTGCCATCATTTTTCCCAGCTCCACAGATCCCAAGGTGACGTGGCAGGAGTGTACATTGAATCCTGGAATGGTTTGGGTTGGAAGGGACTTTAAAAATCATCCAATTCCAACCCCCTGCCTTGGCCAAGGACAATTTCCACCATCCCAGGTTGCTCCAAGTGCAATCCATTCAAGGCTTTGGACACTTCCAGGGATAGGGCATCCACAGCTTTCTGGGCATCACATCTCATCCTCTTTCCCGTTTTTCTACATTAGGAGCTGAAAATGATTTTGGGATGGGAATCATCCAAGCCAAGGTGATCCCATCACCCCGCGGAAGTAAATCCGCTGATGGAGCAGAAGTTGGAAATAACCCAGCAAAAACTTGAGACAGCTCTTGCTTCCAGTAATTCCCAGGGAAGGGTGTCAGCCATGATTTCTAGGAGCCACACGCAGCAGAAAGCAGGGAATTGCTGGCAGCACTAATGAAGTTACGGCCATCCGGTGATTGGGTTAGGAGATCCTCTGGGAGCGGCCGGCGAGGTGATGGACGGAAAGCAGAACGGGAATTAAATTGCATTTCATTTCAATTTGGCCATAAATTTGATGATTTCGTCAGATGAGGAATAAAGGGGGAAGGGAGGAGGGGGAGGAGAGGAGAAGGAGGGATCTGCAGGCAGAGAGCGAGCAGGACACGAGGAATTGCATCGTCCCAGTTTGTACCATTGTAGGTCATTCATCAGAAGTGCCAAACGTTTTAAATCACCTGCTCCCTATGGATCAATCACTCTCGTAGTAAAGGTTGGGAATACAGATTATCAAACTGTCCTGGGACTTGTGGGAGAGGATGCAGTGGGTGAAGAGACGAGATGGACCATTGCTGCCACTTTCATGGGATGCTCCACTTGACAGCAGTGGTTTGCATCACCTGAGTCATCTGCTGAAGTGTGGACGTGTCACCCAGGTGGAGACACTGTCAGGTTGCAAGTGATGCACGAGCCAATGAGAATTCCCTGTTTTGGATGCATCCAGAGGGACCTGGACTATCTTGAGAAGCAGGGCCAGGGGAATCTCATGAAGTTTAACAGAACCAAGTGCTGGTGCTGCAACTGAGTGAGACAGAATCAATCCCAGTGTCAATCCGGGCTGGGGATGAGCTGATGGAGCAGCCCTGGGGAGAAGGATTTGGAGTGCTGGGTGAGAGGCTGGACATGACCCAGCAAGGTGTGCTCCAGCCCCAGAAATCCAATCGTATCCTGGGCTGATGCCACAATGTTGGCAGCAGGAGAGTGGGGAATTCTACCCTTCTGCCTGCTTAGGTGATATCCCACCTGGAATGTTGCATTCAGCTCTGAGGTCCAGGTACCAGTGCAGGAGCAATGTGGAGCTGCTGGAGCAAGACCAGAGCAGGCACCAGGATGATCATAGGGATGGAGCAGCTGTGCTGTGAGAAAAGGCTGTGGGAATTGGGATTGTTCAGCCCAGAAAAGAGAAGGCTTCGAGGGACATAACTGTGGCCTTCCAGAACCAGAAGGAGCTGAGAAAAAGACGGAGAGGGACTTTTTACAAGGGATGGAGTGACAGGAAAAGGGGGAATGGCTTCAAACTTCCAGAGAGCAGAGTAAGATGGGATATTGGGAAGAAATTCTTCCCTCTTTTGGGTGGTGAGAATCATGGAATCATGAAATGGTTTGGGTGGGAAGGGACCTTAAAGATAAACACGTTCCAGCCCTTCCACTATCCCAGGTTGCTCCAAGCCCTATCCTACCTGGCCTTGAACACTTCCAAGGATGGGGCAGCCACAGCTTCCCTGGGTAACCTGTGCCAGAGCCTCCCCACCCTCCCAGGGAAGAATTCCTTCCCAGAGATAATCAAAGATCTCCAGTGTTGGAATCTAATACTGGAGACCTTCCAGAAATGGTTATGATTCATTCCAGTTTGGTGACACTGCAATTCCAGGCCCTGACAAAGACACCAAATTAACTCCTGGGAATGAGAAACTTCCTCAGGGCGATATTGCCCTGGAATGTTGCATGGGATGACTGGGAAGCACTCAAGGGACAGGCTGTACTGCATTTCCTCAGTGTTCTGGACTGGTTGCCAAATTTGGAATCAGTCACAGGTTGGACTCAGTGATCTTGGAGTTGTTTTCCAACCTCACGGATTCTGGGGTTCTTTGTGGTTCTTTGTTGATGCTGAAATTGTCTGGGACAGTCCCAGCCCCTGGATCTGCGTGATTAAAGTTATTAAAGCCATGCTCTGAACGAGGCCTCTTGGATCTCTGGTGGGATCAATGATCCCACGGGACACACCAGCACATTCCCACATTGCTGCTGCACCTGGCTGCCACGGGGATGGGATATGGATGAGCTGTGCTGAGCCTGGGAGCTGTTTTTGTGCTGGTCCAGCAATGCCAAATGTGACAAGAGCTTGGCCTGCCCTTGAGGCCAAAGCTTTTAAACTCGGAGTGAGAGAGAGGCCAAAGATATTCCCCATCAATCTTAACCCCGGAGCTCCAGCTGTGGCAGGACTGGGAAGGAATTGGATTCCAGCAGTTTGGCAGTTTTGTGAGCATAATTAATGCACGTCATTGCCAGGAATTCCAGTGTAGTCATATAGATTTTGACCCGTATTTGGGACATTCCTCTGGGATATCTCTTTCAGATGGGAATCTCTTTCAAAAGGAATCTTTAGTGGAGCTTCCACATGTTCAAAGTGAGGGATTACAAGCATTCCCAAAATAATGACTGGGAGGTACAAGGGGAAAAAAATGCCGGAATCTATTTCACATGCACAATAATTTTCTTTTAGATGTGCAGTAAAGATTTTATATGCACAATAATTTACTTTTACACGTGCAATGATGTTTTTACACATGGAATCATTCATTTTTATGGATAAAAGCCGACCAATTAAAAACCTGGGTGTTAAACATCCCTCCCACCAATCCTGAAGGATTTCTTTTGGAGTAAAACTTCATCAGGCCTAACATCAACACTTTTGTGCAGGATTATTGTTGCTTTTCCAGCTAGTTCCTTGTGCTGCACCTGATTCTTTTCCAGTTCACCCTCACAGGAAGTAGGAACAGCTCCATGGGCCATTGGAAAGGGATGTGAGGGCCACATCACCTGGATTGTCACCTGGTTTTCCCCGTGATCTATTCTGATCAGCTCCCTGAATCTATGGGAGGAATATCAGCCCCAGCAGGAAGAGATGAGAAAACATTTATGTGATCATGGAATAGTTTGAATAGGAAGGGATTTCCAATTTCCCAAAGCAGGGACACCTTCCACCATCCCAGGCTGCTCCAAGCCCTATCCAGCCTGGCCTTGAACACTTTCAGGGATGGGGCAGCTACAGCTTCTCTGGGAATTCCATTCCAGGGCCTCACCACCTTCACATGGAAAAATTTCTTCCCAATATCCCATCTTTCAGTCTGAAGCAGTAGTGGTGGGATTTTTCCATCAGTGGAGCTGAACAATTGCAAGAACAATTTAAAGACTCCAAAGGGTCCATACAGCTCAGAGGAAAAGAGTTAAGGCCGTGAGAAATTCCAGCTGTTGAAAGATCAATGGAAAAACTTTGTTCAGAGATCTCAGATCTGCTTCCATCTTTTTTTTCCATGAATCTTGTCACTTGGCCAAGTCAGATGAGCTTGGAGCTTCCATTTCTCAGGTGAATATTTTGATCAGGCAGCATGAGTTTAGGGGTCTGTGTTCCCTCAGTTTTTCCTGTTTATTTAATTCCATATTTAAATGGGATACACTTCAGAGCCCACTACCCAGGATGGATTATTAATTTCCAAGAAGTTGAATAGGAAGGGAAATATCTCCTTCTTGTTCCTAAGGCTTCATCTCCATGGAAAACCCTCTGCTGCAATGAACTGGCAAATTCACTGTCCATAGTTAATTCCAGGATGATCTGAAGGAATAATGGGACTGAAGAAATTAAGAAAGCCTTCCTAATATTCTGGAATCTGGTGGATTAAACACCCCAGCTCAGGCCAGAGGGTCACCTCCAAGCAGGGCTGTCCTGGTCACGCTGAGTCTTTGCCAGTGGAGACTCAGTTACTTTGAGGGAATCTCAAATTACTGCAAACCTGGCGGATTCCAGGGAAGAAGAAGTGGAAGGGGCTGGAAATAGAAATAATAGTCCCCAGTCTAGGAAAAAAAAGAGGTTCACAGGGTCTTTTATTTGGACAATCTGGGAGAGGAGGGAAGGAAAAGAGGAAGGTGGATGGTCAAGTTTAATAAAACAGCACAAGCTGAAACACTTTCCCCTGGAGAAATTCCAATCATGAAAAATAAACTGTTTTAGAGTCCATAAATGTTCTGTGGGAGCCTGATACTGCAGGAAGTATAAAAATTTCTTTTCATCCAAAATTTCTATGTTTTCAAGAATAAAAAAAGCTTCCATGCAAGCTTTTCTTGGAGGAACCTGTTCCAAGCTTTGACTGCTGGAGTGCTCAAGACTCTGGTTATGGGCTATTTTGAAGAAGGCAATGGGAAAAATTGGTGACAGTGTCAAGCCATTGTGAAATTCAATGGAAAATTATCTGGAATGGTTATGGATCAATGTCCCAATAGAGGGGGCAGGAATTCTGCTGTTTGGTGGTGTCTGAACTTGACAACATTTCCCAAACAAAAGGGCTGAGAAGCACCCTAAGGATTTACCTGCAAACCATCCTGAAAATCATCTCATTCCAACTCCCTGCCATGGGCAGGGATGCATTCCACTATCCCACATTGCTCCAAGCCCCATTCTGGAACACTTCCAAGGATGGGGCAGCCACAGCTTTATCTGGGAATTTCATTCCAGGGCCTCAGCACCTTCAGAGTTAGCTCAGAACAGCTCCTTGGTTATTTTCAAGGTTCATGGAAAACAAAAATCTCCTGAAGGACAATTCAGCTGATTAAAAAAAAAAAAAGGAATGGTAAAATGAGAATGATGAGAGGGGATGGTTAAAAAACAACCAAAGTGCCCCAAAAGGGTCATTCCACCCCACCAAGAGTGACACTGGTTTGAAAAACTGGCTTAGAGGCAAAGGGACAGTGACAAGGGACACATCAAATGGGAAAAAAAAAAAGAATAAAGGACATTGGATTTGCACAAAAATGGAGAAAATCAGTGAGATGAGCAAAAAGCCAGGAGTGGCTCTGGCCAGTAGAGCTGAGGCCAGCAAAGAGTTGAAATACTTTGGGAACAGAAGGAGCTATAATAACCCCGGTATTGATTCCTCCTTGGAAGGGAAATGTGCAAAGCAGGCATTTTCCAGGGATATTTGTTTTGTATTTGGAGGGAAAAGCAGATTTGTTCCTGATTAAAGGGAAGGGATGGTTTACAGGCCGGCATTTAGTGGGGAACATTCCAGATAGCCCCTCTTAAAAAACACTCAACGTGCTAAAAGCAGGGATTAACTCTATCCAAGTGTTTTCTAGGATGTGGCCAAGAAGAATCAGGGCTGGTTTTCAAGATCCCAAGGCAGAGAAATCCAAGGGACAAGAGGAAAACTGATGTCATGTCAGTATGTTAAGGAATAGGAATGACTTGGTTAATTATTGCCTGCCATTGATTCCAGGCAAAATGAGGGAACACCTCACTAGGACTCGATTAATAAGGAATTACAGGAACATGATGCTAATCAGCAGGGGGTTATGGGAAATCGGTCTTGTCAAATTAAGCAGCTTTTATAAACACAATTAGAAGAGGGAGGATAATTAACGAACTTGAAAAGGGTTGGGATTGAGTTGCTGGGGGAGATGTTGAAATCCAGAAGTTTTGGTTCAAAAAATGGCATTTGGGAAGTGGGAGGAGCAACGGGAGTTGTGTCCATTCCTGGAATCCCAACCCTTTAACCACAACATTCACACAGGACAATGACATCCAAGGAATATCCATGCAGGCTGTGAGATCCAAAACCTTGGAAAAGCTGATGGTTTTTGATGCTCAAGTCCATGCATTGATGAAGAAATGAACTCCAAGGTGGCTCCTCAAAATGAAGGCAAGAGATGGCTGTGTCTTGTCACCAAAAGGGACAACTGGGAGACGTTTTGGTACTGTAGGTTTGCACCTAAATAAATGTAGGATAAATTTGCTTTTTGTTACTCTCCTCTCCATGCTGTCCCACCCTCCCAAGTCCAGAGGAGGTCACTCAGTTGATCAAAGGACTGCAGCCCCTCTGCTCTTCTGGGAGAGTTGGGAATGCCCAGCCTGGAGACTCCAAGGAGACCTTCCAGTGCCTAAGGGGGCTCCAAGAGAGCTGGAGAGGGACTTTGGACAAGGGATAGAGAGCAGGACAAGGGAGAATGGCTTCCCCTGCCAGATGGAAGAATTAGATGGAGTTTTGGGAAGGAATTCTTCCCTGTGAGAGTGGTGAGGACATGGCACAGGTTTCCCAGAGAAGCTGTGGCTGCCCCATCCCTGGAAGTGTCCAAGTCCAAGCTGGATGTGGCTTGGAGCAACCTGGGGTGGTGGAAGGTGTCCCTACCCATGGCAGGGAGGTGGAACTGGATGATTTTTTAAAGTCCTTCCAACCCAAACCATTCCATGATTCCATGATTCTATGACTGAGCTGTTGGAGTCTACTTTGGGTGGTGACTGATGGGGGTCACATATGGTGTTGGGCAATGTCCTCCAAAATCATCCCAAATGGAAAAGTCTCCTTTACCCAGGCTGCAGGATGAACACATTCCATTAATTTTAACCTCAGACCTCTGTATTTTGGCTGTGGGAAGAAGTGGCTGGGGACTGTTCTTCCTTCTTGGAATCATGGAACAGTTTGGGTTGGAAGGGACTTTTAAGGATCATCAACTTCCAACCCCTTGCCATGGGCAGGGACACCAGAATTCCTCTGGAATTGGATGTGACTGCTAAGGGATGATCCTGAAGGGGAAATCAGGAATGTCAGGCCACGTCCCTGATTTCTGATCAACCTGCTCCATCCCCTCTCCCATTCCCATGCATCTTCCCCTCCCGCACTCCATAAAACGCCTCCTCTCAATTGAGATGCTTTGGTTTATTTGGGCTGCGAAATCTACTTAAACCATTTTAATTTGTCTTGTTTGGATATGGGCATCATTTGGATCGTGTTTTATGGGCACCCGGATCATTTTCCTTCCTGTAAATCGTCCCTTTAGTTACTGAGGCTTCTGGGAAGTTGTAAATCCTCCCTCCCATCTTTTCCATGGAGTTTACGTTGTTTTACAGCTTCATTAATAGGTTCTCTCCCGGCGAGGTTGATGAAAGTTATTGACCTAATCATAACCTATTAATTATGACAGTAAATCCCACTCTTGGAAATGTTTTACTGAGCAAATGTTACTTGGAAAATCTGCGGGTTAAACTGCAGATCCAAGAACTTTAAATCTCCCATTCACTGCCCCAGTCATGAAGCCTTGGGAGAAGCTTGTGGAGTCCTGCTGGCTTGGGAAAATTCTCCTTCAGGGAGAATTCAGTTTTCCTAAATGTTGGCTCTACACATTTGAATCAAACATGGAAACTGAGGTGCATCCAGTTCTCCTTTTGGCTCTTAGAATAATGGAATCATTTAGGTAGGAAAAGCCCTCAAGTCCAACTGTTCCCCAGCACTGTCAAAGCCACCACTAAACCATATCCCCAAGTGCCACATCCACATGGCCTTAAAATTCCTCCAGGAATGGTGACTCAACCACTAGCCTGTTCCAGTACTTGATAATCCTTTCATTGAATGAACTCTTCCTGATATCCCACCTTAACCTGCCCTGGTGCAAGTTGTGGCCATTTCCTCTTTTCCTTTTGTTCTTTACTTTGGGAATGCACAATTAATTTACTGACTTACTAATTCATTTACTGACTTCTATAAGGTAGGGGAATCATCATAGGTAGGGGAATATTCCAGGTATCTGCCCAGAGAATCTGTGGACTTCTCATTCCTGGAAGTGTTCAAGGCCAGGCTGGATGAGGCTTGGAGCAATCTGGGAATAGTGGAAGGTGTCCCTGCCCATGGCAGGGGGTTGGAATGAGATGATATTTGAGGTCTTTTCCACCCAAACCATTCTAAGATTCCATGATTTTCCACAATCACATCCAGGACAGGTTTTTTATTGGAAGAACCCAGCCCCAAAAAACAACATCCCTAAAGCTACACCGGGATCCCCTAAAACCAGGCAAGGAATGTTTCTCTCCCCTAAATCTCTCCCTTCCAGAGGCAGATCCATCACTCCTGTTGGAAGTGTGGAAGTGCTCCTTTAGGATACACTCTCTGTAGCTCAGCTGCTGAGCGAGCAGCTCCCTTCTGCATCCTCAAATCCCTCGGGAAAACCACTTTGCTTATGAGGCAGAGAGAGAAAGGTCTCTCGGGAATCCAAGTGCTTCCATCAGCCTTTTGGAGTAGCCATCCGTGGTAGGAACTGCGAGAGGTCCCAGCTGGGCTCCAGGGTCTGGATTAAATAAGCATTAAAAGTTCGGATATGCACAGGGAATTTATTGGAGAGACACAAATGGGTATCCATTTATCCAGAAACTTCCACAGGATCCCACCTCTGTGTCCCGATGTGTATCCACATATTCAGAGTTCATGCCCTGAACATGCAGTTGAAGGCATTAAAAATGCTCAAAGAGCTTTTTCCTGCTAGATACCCCAAATTCATGGATGAATATCCCAGTGTGCAGGTGGGGAAGCTGCAAGGCAGTGGCTCAAAGGGAGGAGGGATGGATATTGCTCCAAATCTCGTGGCAAGGTCACAG